TAAATGTTAATTTTTATATATTTACTAAACAATAACGTTATAAGCAAAAAATAAAAGATTTATTTGTAAATTATTTTTATAAAAAGTAGCTTAAAAAGCTAATAGCGAGCTACTTTTTTTGACAAATAGCGATAGCGGTAGCGTGCTACTTTTTTTTAACAAATAGCGATAGCGTTAGCGCGCTACTTTTAAAAGTAGCGTTTAACAACTCTGAAAAAAAAATTGATTAAATAGAAGTTATTTTGAATGTTAGTCCTATTAATTATTTCTTTATATTTTTTTTCTCAATTTTATTTATTAAATGTGTAATATTAAAAAAATTTAATAATATCAAAAAAAATTAAAAACCAATATTTATACCGATTTCTTTGGTGGACCAATTTACCATATTATAAGGTATGTTGATATGATTAGTAGCCAATATTATGTAACCCTGGAGATTTTGCGCAAAGAAGAATGAAAGAAATAAAGAAAAATAAAGGTTTGGATCTCTATCTCTAATCTTACATATTATTTTGGCTAAGATCTTAATCGACCGTTTTTTAAAATATGCCCAAATCGGTTCTACGAATAAATGCGCAATTTTGTTATTTATTTATATTATAGGTATTGAAATTATAAATATACTAATTGAAAATAAAATTATATATTTCCAGTATCATTAAATATAAGAAATTTGACATTCCAATTATCAAGGATGTGGCTTATCATGACATTGATTTAAAAAATCAAAAAAAAAGAAACTAAAAAGATTTTGTCCGACTAAATTCATTGAAATACAAGAGTCGGTGAAACTCTTTATTGAACTATATGATTTTGTATTTGCAGGACTGGAATTTTATATATTGAGCAAGGAAAAAGATTCAGCAGATGCTGAGAATCTTTTGCAGACTATTATTAAGCCACAATTTTTAATATCAATTCAAAGTGTTTATTATTTTAATTTAATTATACATATGATTTTAGCAAAATGCTACAAAAAATTTATTTGGATTTAAGAGATGTTATGAATAGAGCGAAGGACATTGTTGAAATATTAACAAATATCAGAAAGAATGCGGATTAAAAATTTCATGAAATATTTGAGAAAGTAAAGGAGTTTCCTAATATGTTTGGGATTGAAATTTTTAAACTGAAAGTGATTTCTAAGACAATCTAAATGATCAAATATTGATGCATCTACTATTGAGGATTGTTATAAAATAAACATTTTTATTCCTTTTACTTATTGATACATTTTTATTTAAATTAAAGGAAAGATTTATTAGTCATAATTTTATTTTAAAAAGCTTTGATTTTCTTTTGCCGGTTGAGTATAAATTGTTGATTACTCTTGAAACACAAGAGGATATAAGGAAAATCTCAGAGTTTTACGTTGATGATTTAGTAGGCTCATATGCTAAATTACTTTGTGATGTCTGATTTTCGTAAATCTTGACAGAGTAGAGTATTCTTTGAGACCTAAAAATGCTCTGCAGACCCTTTCCATGTGTAATTACACTTTAGATTTCCTACCTAATATCAAAACTTTATTAATTGTTTTAGCCACCAATTAGTATCTGCACTAATGAAAGGTCTTCTTCAACTTTAAAAGGTTAAAAACCTATTTAAGAAATAAAACCGGTGAAAAGCTTTTAAATAGACCAAAGAAATCGGTATAAATATTGGTTGTTAATTTTTTTGATATTATTAAATTTTTTATTGATATTACACATTTAGTAAATAAAATTGAGATTTTTGTAAAAAAAAATAAAGAAATAATTAATAGGACTAACATTCAAAATGACTTCTATTTAATCATCCTTTTTTTATGCTAATAAATTTATAATAAATTGCAGCTTGTATTATATACGCGCCGAATTGTCGCAGCTCTGCGCCGAATTTTCCGCGCCGAATTGACGTAATACCCTTTTCCTTAATCCCGAAAATGTAAAGAAAATCATTAATTATGGATAAGAGAATCAAAAGATGAAAAATATTTTGATTGAAATGTAGCATTCACTCTTGGTCTTAATAGGTTTAATATTATTTGGAAGAGGGGGGAAGTTTTTAATAAATAAAAATTTGGTATGGGTATTAAATAAAAGGTAAGCAAGTTAGAAATGTATTAAAATGCATTCAGTATTGAGCCATAAATTTAATTATATTTAGATATTATGAAATTGATATAATGAAAAAAATATATTTACACATATGTTCCAACCAATTATTTGTAAATATTGAAAGTAATAAAAATAACATATTTATAAAAAAAGATTTATGTTGATAGCGGACTTTGTCAAAATCCATCTAGTTTTTATGTAAACCAATCCCTAAATCATTGAATGAGGTTGGGACGTGAGTGGAGTGCCAAAAGTTAGCATTGTAGCTATAAAGCAGATTTTAAGGCTCGAGATATCGCATTAATGTAATTTGGTATGTCTTACAAATATGTCTCTACAACAATTGCGATGCAGATATTGGTGACCTTTTGAGTCAATAAAAGTTTTATGTAGTGCACACATGGGCGGCATTAACATATCGCATTAAATCTGATTTCTATGGCGGGGCAAAGCTTATCTGTAAGTAATCAGGAAGGATAGCTTCAAAAAATTATTAACCGTTTCCAAAGTTAGTTAAAAAAATAAAGGGAATTTTTCTAAAGATTTTTCCAATTTGAGAAATGCGTCGAAGTTGGCAATCAAGAATAAATCCCAGTGTGGATGTTGGGAAAATCCAAAGGTAAGTGGCATCGTGGAATAGAGTATCCGGGAGTTTATAAGATATAAAAGCGCTGAAGGAGAGTGAAGGTGAGTGTAGATCAAATTTTACCCGCTTTAGTAAGTAGGGTAGCCTGCAGTCAAGATAATTTTTCTAACTTAAGATTGATATTTCGTTTTATAAATATATTTACACCATGCTCATTATATCAAGGATGGCAGGATAATAAAAAATAATTGTTGATCATAGGATATAAAGAATGTTGGGAATTAAAAAGTGATTCTTCAATAGAAAAAATTGGTATGCCGAGAAATGTGATAGAGTCTCATGCATTTATATATATTATGGCCTATAGATGAACGATGAACCATGACACTCTTTCTATGATTATTTTGAACATTGCTGTTCAGGGGATCGTATTAATTCTTATAAGAATTTTTGAGAATTTTTTGTATCTTAAATTTATTATGCATATTGCCTGATTGATTGATACTATCACTTAAAAATGAACATAGTGATTGATGTAAAATTTGTTCTAGTAAGCCACCATGTTGAATGCCTTCTAATGATGGTATTAATCGGAGGTTTATCGGTTTAGAGTAGCAGTTCTGGCAAGAATTGGATAGATTTTGATAATAAGAATGGTCAACAGGAATTCAGAGCGTTTTAGAATATTAAACTCATTAAATTGATTTCGACGATGATGCCATTGGATCATAATTTAAATATAAAGTATATGAAGATACCAATAAAATATAAAGATATAAAAACTGTGTCTATTATAAAAGATAATCGATTTGGAGAGACAATTCTTTATTTTAAAAAAATATTTTATTTACCCAAATAGGAGTTTAAATCTATTAAATAGAATAATGATAAAATTTTGTTGTAGGCTATAAATTTATAAACATTACTTGCTAATTGTTCTGCATCTAGATTGGCTAATAAAAAACAAATAAAAAAATTTTTAAAAAAAGAAAGAAAAGAAAACACCTAATGATTCTTCTATCTCTATTTCCGGGTCAAATTGCACACCTGATTATGATAAATCAATATTATATATTTTAATAATAGGTAAATACTACTAATTATTTTTATTAATTAGAATTTATACCAGTGTCGCTATTAATGATGTCACCTATAAGTAAGTTATCCGCAAGTTGTCTTATTTCTAATATAGGAAATAGGTTAATTTATATAAATTATTTATAACAAAGTATATATTTTTTTAAAAAAACTTTTATAAATTCCAAGAGTTTTGTTTGAAAAAAATTTTAATTAATTTTTTCTCAAAAAGTTTTTAATTTTTCAAAAGGACCATAAATAAGTAATACTTATAATGTTGTTAGAAGACTAGACTTGAGCCGATTTTTTAAAAACCGCGAACTCAGTATTTTATCCAGAATAACATTACACACGCCTGAAGATTTTTGCTCATAGATGCCACAAAAATTTAGGCATCTATTTACTAAATCTCGAGGCTTAGACAATATTTTTCTAGCTATAATGATGAATTGACAGTATTAAAAATCGACTCAAATCGAGCCGCTTAACAACACTAAATCCTGGTGATCAAGTTTTAGAGGCTATACTTTAAAAATAAATAAATATTCATAACACCTACACCTACTTCTCTTTAATATTTCTGTTTCCGTGATGGTGAACCTCCCAATAAACCACTTTTTTTGAGTATGATAAAGTGAATAAGTAAGTCATGGTCTTTATTTTACCTAGTTTGTCATATAATAAATATATTTAAATAAAAATATATATGAACAGTTAGTTATATATGAACAGTTAGTTATATATGAACAGTTAGTTATATATGAACAGTTAGTTATATATGAACAGTTAGTTATAATCCTAAATCTTAATAGGTAATAATGTCACGAATAAAATATGCATTATGAATGTAATGAAATTAGAATTTTATTTTAGATCATCTTTGCCTTAAATTGAGTGGATAAGTGGAAATGCCTGATTTTAAGTGTCTTATGTCTACGAACTCATATTTAGAAATCTTTGTTTAATATATAGTTGAGTCGATATGTCTCAAGTGTTCCTACTGTTACATGTTATTTGAAATTTATTGGCGGAACTTTATTTTTTTTAAAAAAATGCTCATATTGGAGAATTTTTTTTTCGCCTGCGAAAACCTAACTTAAAAATTGGTTTCTACAATTTTCTATATTTTCCACAATTTTATTTATTCTTTAATTAATATTTAATATATGTGAATATTAACTAACTTAAAACGCCATATTAATAATGATAGTTTTTAAAAAAAAATACATACCCAGAGATGTACTTCGATTAGTAGAAGAATCAAGACCTCGAGGAAGGCCGAAGATGACGTGGATAAAGGTGAAAGTGGCGGATATGATAAAAATGAATCTTACAAATATTAATACTCAGGACGGTTAAAAATGGAGAGGGAAAACTGCTTAACTGGGTAAACCTGGAAATCGCTATTGAGCAAAGAAGAAGGAGAAGTATATATCCAAAAAAGAACCGGAATTATATTTAAAAATTTCTCTATTTTATATAATTTGTTATTGATTTTGCGAAAATTATCGAAATTTCTCATTGCTTATCTCTTTGTTTGTGAATAATTGAATAGCGAATTATTTATACAAAGCTTAGTGTGTGTAATTTTTTAATTATTAATAAATCCAAAATATTTTATTTATACTTCTATCTCTTTGTCAATTAAAAATAAATAAGGGAGAGTAATTAATCTATCATTTTATAAAAAAAACTTGAAACAAATAATAACTCTTCTTTCAAATGATTTTATAAAACTCTAAACGCAATATAATTTAGATAAGAATAATAAATAAGCTTTGTATTGTACTAGAAAAATTTAATTTCCTCTCTTAGGCCATTTCCGGAAAGAATGTTTTTCCCAGAATTATTTTTATTTAATTCTAAGATAGCCAAAAGCTAAGTCAACCTAAAACCTCCAGTAAAATTTATGTGGGGAAAAACCCAATCTAATAGTGCCCCTTCCCTCCCTCAATAAAATCTTGGCTATGCCTTTGTTTCATATTAATGAAATGAAATTTATAAGGCTTGAATATTTAATCTAGAATGATTGTTATAGTAAATCGATATCTTATTTAAAAAGCCAAAAAAAAACAAGTTATTATATTAAAAATAAAAAAAAACAAGTACAAAAATGAAATGAAAATATATATTAATATATATTTTTTTTGTTGCCTTGAGATATAAAAATATATATTAATATATATATTTTTTGTTGCCTTGAGATATAAAAATAAATTTAACTAAATTTTAAATATAAATTATAATAGTGCACATGCAACACATATAATTTAAGTTTAAACTTAGTATATAATTTAAAAATAAGACTATAAATTTGTAGGATATATAACAAAAATTAGATTTAAAAATGCCTCTCACAAAGTATATTGTTATTTTCCAAATCTAAGTCATTTATTTACTATTTTTTTAATTTTTTTAAGTTTGAAAAATCAAATTTCTCTGGAAAAGCATTTGAGCATCATTTATATAATATATACCATTTGTTTAATTAGATATATTCAGATGTGCCAAAAACATATATTCAAATTAGTTAAGTCAGAAGGAGTTCCGTTTTCTGAGAATTTTAAAATATCCTATTTCCGCTTTGTATTAGAGATCTGTGAAAGTAGGATTGGCTAGGGCCGGACCTATTTTTTAAAAAAATATCGGGTTTAGGGGGTCGGGCCTAATATTATTTTAAAAAATTCTGGCCGAGCCGTGTGGGGCCTTGGAATTTTTTTTTAAATATGTCTAAATTTATCAATTTTATTTCGAATTTTTTATGTAAAATAAAAATATTAGTGGTTTATATATTATCATAAAATGTGGTATTTCCATGTCATATAATTTATTAGGTCAAAATGTTAATTTTTGAATATACTTTAGAGAAATTTCTTAATTTATTAGCATACAGTTTATTTTCAAATATTTAAACAAAGATTTTAATATTTTACTTCTATTTGCATATCTTTTAAGTGGGGTGATGATTAAAGTGAAGTTCATCCCATTTTTTGCTACAGAATAAATATATATTAGTGAAAAAAAAGTATTTATATATTATATATAATATAAAAATGTAACACAGCCCCCTCTACATTAGAATAAATTATTTGTGTAAAATGAGAAAGAGCTTAAGATCGATATTAAGACGAGTTTAAGAGTAAAGAACACCAGACGATGCGAGATTGAAATTTCTAATCTTTCTTAAATAAATCATAAAACTTTAGACAATTATATATTATTGGGATAGATCTGATAAATAAATACCTATGACTAAACTCATTTGAAAAAATAATTTATTATGATTATTCGGCACCAAAAAATCACTTTTAATTAATAAGCTTTCTATTTTTTAAAAACACTAATATTTTAGGCTATGGCCATATTAGTGTGTTCTAGCATTTGAGCGTTAGAGCGCCTAATATCAAAAGATAGGGAGCTATAAATCTAGCGTTATTTCGAGCATTTGCTTACATATTTTTTATCGTATTCTAAATAATTTCTTTATTTTAAAGTTTTAGTGGATATCTAATATATTTAAAAAAATATTCATTTAATTTATAACTACGCGAGAACCCTTTGGTATTGTCTTAGTCTTAATAATATATTTTCACTATCTTTTTTATAATTGTTTTATTACCTTTTATCGGAAAGACCAACTTTTTGATCCCTTTGGCACATTTGAGAAAGTAGTAAGGCTGTAAGTGAACCTTTTTGTCTACATCTTTTTTTCATAAATAAATTTTTTACTTTATGGTATTTAAGAGTAGTTTATAGTATCTTATTCTCTAATTTCAAATTTTCAAATATTGAAAATTATTATTTTATAAAACAAATATGATTTGCAGGTATATAAATTACTTCTTAGGTATTCATTGTAATAACAAAACATTTATTCATTTTTATTATATTAAACTCAAAAATGCTGTTGAGCATAGCTTACTATAAAAGTACTCTCAAGATTAAAAAATAAATAGAACTTGCAAAATAAATATTATTGGCTTATTTCTTGTTAATTATTTTTAATATAATTAGATTAAATGAAATTAATTTCATATTATATTAGAAATTACTTAAATTTGTTTTAATAGAGCCCGAAATTATTTTTGTTAATAATTTTAGTTGCGAATTTTTAATAGTAATCAAATAACTTCTTGCTCTCATAGATTCAATTATACTTTTTTTAATTAATTCCCTCCATTTAAACATATCTTTGTAATTTATCATCTCCTTCGTGAATTAGAGAAAAAAAATTAGGTGCAGTGGGATCATTAAGGGTGGGAACAAACTCAATCCAAGTTTAGTGATTTTCCTCAAAATTTAGAAAAATTATTCTGAGCTTAAAATGAGATCTATATAATAGTATATTAATTTTCCCCCCAATTTCTGTTTTACATAGTAAATTTTAAAATATTTGCCTTTTTTTTTAGTAATTTATAGATTACATTTTTTAAAGTAAACTCCTCCAATTTTGTTTATACACTGTGTTCCAATTGAAATGATACCCTTTTTGTTTTGGGAATAAATCTGTTAATTCCTAGAATAATTGGATAAATTTTATAGACTAAAAAAAGGATTATTTAATTTCTTAAGGGACCGGGCCAAGAAACTTTTGCAAATATTCTTAATGGGCAAAAGAACCAGGCTTTGCCGATCTCTAATATGTATATTCACTTAATGTTAAAATTATCGAATATCGAATCTACTATAAACTTGTTACAATATTGTTATTATAGTATCGGAAATTTTATTTTCATTAAAAAAAGGGATAATTTTATATATTTTTAATAGTACATAATTATTATAAACAAATTGTACCTGATGAATAATGAGTAGGTGATAGGGTGTTTTCTATTGAATAAGTCGATCCAATAATATTTTAAATACATGAATCATTTTTAATAGTCAAATTATAAAGGATTAATAATGGAGAATGGGAATATACTGTGGTTATGGTAAAAATCTTGAACTTTCTTATAAATAATATCTTTTATTTTTTTTAAATTAAAAATCCTTATTTATTTGGTATAGCGATTTAGAATTTTAAGATAAAATAGTCCAGGACTTGTCTATGGGCTAATTTCTTTTTGACAAAAACCATACTAGAAATGCATATGCGGCTTTAAAAAAAATATTTAATTGGATAACATGGTTTGTAAGTGTATTATTAAGTTTTTAAAATTTTTCACAAATCTAAATTAAATATTTTTTCCACCATAAATATCTTATAATTTAGGGCAAACAATTTTCAGTTTCTGCAACAACCACATGCAAAGGATTAACTTTCCTTCGGTATGACTGATCGGTTCTCAAAAAGATAATCTTAAATAAATATAGAAATAATTGCACGTTAAAAAATAAAAATTATATTTTTTTAATATAATCCTAATTATAAAACAAAATAGAATATTTTTATATTATTTTATTAGGGTTTATCTTATACGGCTCATTACAACCCTGATCTCCTCTATATACGTTTAGAGTTTTTGAATAAGTGATAATTATTGGTTTTTTATATAAAATATAGTGTGAAATAAAAAACTTTTTATTATTCATAAAACTCATTTTGATAAAATATTTTACTTGATTTGTTATTTAAAATTGGTATGTGGACTAAAAAAAAATTTTTTTAAGACAACCATCAATTTATAAATATACCAATATTTTTTTCAATAGAACATCCCAATTTTTGTAAATTTGAATATAATTCATCTTTCTTGTCGACTTTATTGTTATGTTTTTCAAAAAAAATAAAATTATTTGATATAAAAAAAATTACATTTACACTTTTGAATCTTTACCAAATATGGCATTAATCTTAAAAAAATATTATCCCCCACCCCCAATAAAAAATTTCTGGATAGGACCGGCACATTAGATAAGGCAAATCTGTTTTTTGGTAGTTTTACAAATTAGATTTGTTTTTAACACATTTACTACCTATATTAATTGACTTTATTTCATGTGCAGAATAAAATACAATGTATTTATCATTTAATAAAATTGTTAATTTTGCCCAATTATATTCTGAGGTTCCTGTTAATAAAGTTATTAATGAATTTGCCATAGATCAGTTATCTACCATTTCCATAGCAATCATTTCAAAATGAGGCAACTCTATATTATCTTGAAGTATTTTCAAAATTAATTACCCATTTCTTGCTTCTAATAAAGTGTTTACAGTCTTCATATATATTACGTTTTACTTTTATCTAGCCATTTAATTTTATAATATTTAAAAGTCAGGGACTATTTCTCATTTTTCAATAAGTAATTTAAAGGACTTTAATAAAAAATAAATTGCTTTCGAGCTAATTGTAAATTGATTAATATCATTTATATTCTCAACTTAATGTAATGGAATGGATATCATCTTTAATCTCAATATAATGTAATTTTGGTAGTAAAGATGAACCTTTTAGATACATTTCTATAAATCTGAGCGCAACCAGAGTTTTCTTGGTAGCGGCGCGACTTTTTTAAGTAGCTTGCTATGACACGATACTTTTTTTAAAAAAATATAGAGATCAGAAGTACACTCATTTTTAAACAATAGTTAAGTAGCGCCCATTTGGATACTTTCAATTTTAAAATAATAAATACACTATAAAAATTACTTTAATTTATTAATAATTTTATGATTAC